TCGTGATTCGACCAACATGGAATCTCGCTTTCACTTAGTAAGAATATTGATATGATTTTCAAAATCCATATTCGACAAACTCTCATTTTTTAAGTATATATATCAAAAACAAAATCTCATTTTCAAAAGTGTGTGTGTGTGTATAAAGGCTCAAAAAGAGCAATGGGTAGACCCAAAAGGATATAGCTAGAAGTAGTGAGAAAAGATATGGGAATTTATGGCCCCACTGAGGGAATGGCCCTTGATAGATCCGAATGGCGGTACATATATATATATATAGAAGAATATGAGGTCAGCCCACTAGTTGATGGGTATAGTAAATCCCCAATGTCCCAAATTGAATCTGGGCAGATCCAATGATCACAATTGTATTTCGTATTTGAATTTTAATTTTTTGTCTGCAAATCTAAATCTCTTGAAATTTGGAGTGTCTATTATTTAAAAATAGGAAAATCTAATAAAAATATCAAAAAAATAATTTATAAAAAATACCCCTAAAAGTTTCAGGGGTCTTTCGATCCATATGCTTTTTACAAATTATTTTTTTGATAGTTTTATGGAGTGCGCCTTTGATGAAAGGAATGAACACCCCAAATTCATGTGATTTGGATTTATAGAAAACATATTAAAATTATATTATGAAATGAGGTTGTGACCGTCAGATTAGCTCAAATTCAATTTGGGTTGTTGGGCCGACACTATTCCATCAGCCCATGGGCTGACAGGACGTTTTATATATATATATATATATATATAAACGCATTATCAAGTATATACATCAAAAACAAAATCTCATGTCAAGTATATATAAGATTGTACTTGTAATTTTGTAAACATAAACACAAATTCCCCAGTGGACTAGTGAAACATTTTGTCAATTAAAAATTATTATTAGCTAGCATAAGATTGGTGATTAAAAACTCTATGAGTGTCTATGAACTCTACTTAACACCATTCATAAATTCCGAGAACCCAAAATAGATATCTTATGTTTTAGAAATGCATTATTAATAAATCAAGTATTTTTTACTCTCTCCAATTTGGAACCTGAATAAACCTTCAATATAATTTTAAGGGCATTAAACCTTAATTCCAATAAGTGTTCGCAATTCCAAACTGGACTATTAGATCGGAACCGAGCATTGGCCGGTCCGATTTTGACCAATTTTGGTGATCCGGCAGGGTATTTTTAAAAACATTCAAAAAAAATATATAAAAATCCCAAAAAATAAGGGATTTGTTTGTAAAGCATTTTTTAATGTTTTTTATCATTTTGGAAAATATTGGAAAGTTTTTTGGCCATTATTACTTATTTTTACATTTTCCCATCTTTCTTAAAAAATTTCAAAAATACCCCTGGGCACAAGATGATTTTTTAAAATCCATTTTTTTCACTGATTTTCAACTTCATTTGGATGTACTTAGTTTAATCATGCTTTAAATATACATTTCGTATTTTTAGATTTTTTTGTATTTTTTTAACTTTTTAAAACTTTTTTGATTTGCAAGGACTTGCCCGGTTAGGCCGATTGAACCTGTCGGTTTACCAGTTACTCGAAACCAACCCTTGGCTGGTTTCTGAGAGCAATTTATTTTTTTGAACACTGATTCCACTACATGTGGGGAACCATGATTTACGCCACTCAGTACACCAATTTCACTACTAGGGAAAGCCTAGTAGGAATGTTCCCCAAAGTTTAGGATGATGGATTTGGGAAGAGCCTCTAAAGAAGGGAACTAAACCAGTGAGGAGATTGAACCAAGAAGAAGATTTTGCAATCTCTAGGAGCTGAGTTCTAAGAAACCTCCACAGAGGTCGCCTATGGCTCTAAAAACTGAAAAATGAGAAGCATAGGATGGGATACCTTGAACATGGATTCAAAAACAACAGGGATGATTGCTTAAAATGCACCGGCTCCATGGATTGAGGCATAATTCATAGTTTCTGAAAAAAGATCTTTGAAGAGTGCCATTGCTTCCTTGAGCTCTTTGGAAGGAAAGGTTAAGAAGTGAGAACATTCTCTGGAGAGGGTGACAAGTGATTAACTTGGATTTCTGAATAGATGTGACCCATCTCCCATTGCTTCTAGAGTCGTGCATAGAGGCTTGAAGTTCAGCAATTAATGAGTTCTACAAAAATATCTTTAGCCTATGTTGCAGATGGGTTCTTGGACTATGGATGAGGCATGGTCTAGGAGATTCTAATGTGTTGATAGAGAGGTTGGGAGTGTGGGGGTTATTATTTGCGATATGGTTCGGTTTAGAGTTATTAGGTGTGAGATCTCTAACAAGGGGTAGGTTCCGGGTGTTGTGAGGCTTGAGTAGAGTGGAGTACTACTGATAGAGTAGAGGTAGAGCTGGGTTGATGAATGGGGGTTCAAGGCTCAAGGGACTTGGAAGGAGTTTGTTGAAAGTTTCAGAGGATGGGTTGGGATGCAAGGTTTTTGTTTAGAGGTCCAATAAGTTTAGAGTATTTATTGCAAAGCTAAGGATGTGGAATGTTGGTTTGTGGTGAGAAGGAGGATGCATACAGATTGGTACCAACGGTAGAGTGTTTGAGGCCCATGAAGCCATTGGGACATAGAGTAAACTACATGTGAAGTTTACACATGGGAAATGTGATGGTCACATACAACATTATATGGGTAACTGTTTCTGCAGTTTTCTATTCAACTTTGTTGCAATACGTGCCCTACCTTGGATCTCATTTCAACAAACATTGAAGAAAATGTTTTCTTACGATATCAAGGCTACTTCCATGCATAACTTGACATATAAAGAGGGAGCTCGACACTCGATTACTTCCAACCAGTGTTTAAAAAACCATCGATCCGATCCAGAATCCGGCGATCCAGATCGGGTATCGGTGACATCGTTCTGGATCCGCTAATAAAACAGGATCCGACCGTTTTTATCAAGAAATCGCCCTGATGACGTCATAAAGCGGACACGTCACCACATAGGTTCGCCCTGATGACGCCATAAAGCGGACAAATTACCAGTTTGACCTGATGATGTCATCAGTTTTGAAAACTGCCTAACAAATTTTTTTGAAACCCACGTAGTTTTTTACTTTTTTTGAAATAGGGCGATGACGCCATCAGTTTTGAAAACTGATGGTACAAAAGATCAACCACGTGGCCACGTACAATGCACAAGCAAGGTCAACCTCCCACGTGTCACGTTGACAACCAAATGATGTACATTTCTAAGTTATATAAGCATATTTCTTCCCACCATCTATCGATGTGGGATATTTCTTTTGCCTTGACGTTTTAATTAATAGCTCTATCTTATATAAGGAAACTATCATTTATAAAATAAATGGTCTACAAAATAAAAAATTTATTTTTCTTTTTTAATTAATTATATTCAATTTTATTTTTATAATTTACAAAAGTAAAGTACATATAACTAAGTTTGAATTACACATAAATACAAAAAAACAAATTACACATAATAAATTTACAAGAATTAATATAATTATATGAATTTTTTTTTATTTATGTTAATTACTCAATATAATTATGTGAATATGAACATATTAAAATGACATTAATATTATTATGTTGAATGAATATAATTATGTCAAAATTGTTAACTAACTATAATTATTTATTATAATTATGTTAAAATTGTTATTGTTATATTGAAATTTTTATTGTTATAAATACATTAAAATATCACATAATTTAATATATTTAATTGCTATGTTATTTAATAAATTATTATTGTTACATAGAATGTGATAACCTTCCATCATTTACTTATTTTTAATGCTAAATTTTGAAAAACCATATATACAAGGAAGAATTTAAAATTTTGAAACTTAATCATCATTGCCTAAAAAAATACACTTGTAAATATATCATTTATATTTAGATTGAACGTTTGAAAGAGGTTTAAAGCATACTCAAAGTTTTGTTACCATTTCTTTTCGTTTTTTTGTAGCTGCTGTGCATATTGCCAAGAGGCTTTTTGTAGTTTTTTTTTCTTTGAATTTTGGTATCTTTAATTTCCAATTTTTAGGATAAAAATTTTTTGAAATATTTTCATTTCATAATATTAAAATTTATAGGGGGTTTTTTTTTTAGTTTTATTATAATGTTATAATTAATAATTATATATTGATAATCAAATCTTGTATTTTGTTTATTAATTTATTTGTATTATAAATTTTGTAATGTATTATTTTTTCTTATTCTTATAAATAAGATTTTTGATAATCAAATCTCATATATTATTTATTAATTTATTTGTATCATAAATTTTGTAATGTATTATGTTTTCTTATTGTTGTAAATAAGATTTTTTGAATTCGATGATATTATAAGACATTGTAGATTTGTTCTTAGTTTTAAATAATGTCTTATTTTTTGAATTCGATCAGTGTTTAAAAAATCACCTTCTGTTTTTTAAAACCTTGATGTAGTGTACTATTTTTTCTTACAGTTGTCAATAATATATTTGAAATTAAATGATATTATAAGATACTTCATCCATGATACTTCTATGATTCATCTTTGTGTGATGTAAATTTAATGGTTAACATAAGTTCATACAGGGAAAGAACATCTCAATATTCGCATATTGATGAAAAAAATGAAAGTTAATAATGCAGTATCCCCATTTTTTATCGGATTCCTAAAAACAACATTAATAATGTTTTTTAATTATTTCATTTTTCTTATTGTTGAATCGGACCGATTCGACCGATTCCCGATCCGAACCGCCGATTCACCGATCCATATGGGTTTTTGCCGGTTTTTAAACCACTGCTTCCAATATATTCGAAACAAATCATAAATCAATCCAATTTCAAGATTTGCTAGACTCTGCAAAAAGACAGAGAATGAGCACACCTGAGTATGGAGTCACCTAATTATAGCAAACATTCCTATACATGACATAATAAGTTAAATAATCCAAACATTTGAGAAATTAAGTTCAATGGGATGTCGGCCATTGCAAATGACAAAACACAAATCAAGGATACTTACCTGAAGACCATTGGGCAGTAATCTTTCCAATAAAAATCAATTGAATAGTGTGGAGGAGTAAACTGAGATCCCTCTCTTGGGAAGTACATCCTTATCCTGGCCCTAGGTCCAAAATCTGAAGAACGTACTTCACGCATGGGAACAGGTGTGATCTTTCCAACTGTGTACCTGAAAAGAATGATCTCTTGATTAGAGACCATAATAAGACAACATTCAAACCTAGACATCACGTAATCAAATTCAAAGGCCAAAAAATTTGCAAAACATTTTTTGCAAACTGATCAAATTTTAGAAATAAGGACTATTAAACATGGAAACCCATTCACGTGTGAAGGAGTGCCAGTGATTGTAGAAATAATAGATTTCATAAACACAAATATGGATAACCATAAAGTAGAGAAAATAGACCACCAAAATGAACATAAAAGGAGAAGTGCAGTTCAACAATCTACAATTTTGACAAACGAAACATTAAGATGGAAGATTTAACCAGATTTGGTACATTTGAGAGTATTCCAGTGTTTATATAATAATTTTTTATTGTTTATATCTAAACAATAATTCTTTTAATATAAATAAACAATAATTTTTTATATAAACAATAAGTTCTTTACCCAGATTGGGTACAACATTTTAGAGTAATCTCAATAATTTTTCTTTAAACAGTCATCGTTGTTTTCCTTCAAATAAAGATTGTTCATCTTGACATTCATATTTGGATCATGCAAAAAAAGAAAAAGTATGCACATTACTGTGATAAATATTGAAAGCATACCCACATTCCTGTGATAAATAGAGAAAGCATACCTATTAACACATACTAAATGTGTTTCTTTAATCGTGTGAGGAAGAAGCCAAAAAACATATGCAGGGAGATAATACACAGGGTATTTATATCCAAGGATATATGTGTTACACTGTTACATATTTCTATGAACAAATTCATGCAAGCAGGCATAGTGGTAAGGCTTACTTGCAAGTCTTTTATGTGCTTCTCTTCCTCATGAGTTTATCTGTGATTGATTAAACAGAGGTATTTCACATCTCCATTGTATGAGATAGTGAATGTAATTAACAAGAAATACATGGATGCCTTAGAACGGTTCAATCACCAGAATAAAAATTAAGCTTTGTTCATGGATATACCTTGACGTTGAAGTTCTCTTGAGTTTGTTTTGTGTTTGTTTCATATTTCAACTTAAGATCACCCCAACAAAGGGTTACCCGGCTCGTAAGATAGGTGGAACGGTTAGGATGCACGTTAGCCTTCAAGTGGGTGCCCTCCAGAGTCGTCGCCCTTAAGAGCAGCCCACAATAGTAAGTCGATGCTCTACTCTTAAGGAGTATCTAAGGTCTTACTTGGGTTCCTATGAAAGCCTAGCCATGATTTCTGAAGTTCAAAAAATTTTTAAAAAGTTTTCTGGTTAGAAACATATCCTCGACCAAGCTTACCTATAAAACTAGGTCAAAATTTTCAAACCGTTTTTGTGTGGTGGTTGCTTAGACTAAACTAGGCTAGACTAGGTCAAACTAAACTTGATATCCCATGACCAAACTCGGGTGTGGTCCAACTCATTCACGGAGTTTGTGGCTTCATCCCTTTGATAGAATGAACAAGTAGTCATCTTGCCAAAAGTTATGTGCTACCTCTTCCTTCTTTTACCAAGAAACAGAAATGAATATTTTACTCAATGCATCTTGATGTTCAAAGAGCAGCTCCTTTTCTTTTGTTAACCTGATATGTCTAATTTGTATCTTCTATAAATAATTCGCTTGCCTGATGTTAATTTACATGTTCAAAAGAGAAAAGACCGCCCGACCTTGGTGCTGAGATTTGTAAATATGATCATGTTATAAAATACTGATGCAGGAAAAAGATAGATCTGACATAAGCTCTGCGATGTTCATTTAGCATACCATGTCATCTCTTCCTTGAGTTTGTGCCTCACTACACTTGGGAATATAGCATAATTAATGGCTACAAGGTCAGGTTTGCAAGTTTGCAAAGTGTATCATATTATCAAATAATGATTGAGGAAAGAGATAGATCTGAAATATAAGCTCTGTTTTGTTCATTTAGCATACCATGTCATATCTTCCTTGATTTTGTGATTCGCTACAGTTAATCATCATCATCATCATCATTAGAGCCTTTTCTCAACTATTTGAGGTTGGCTACACGAATCCTGGTCCGTCATTCTACTCTATAAAGGTCATACCCTCAGTGAAGCTATAAGTCCCCATATCTTTTCTCACCACTTCCAGTCATGTCCTTCTGAGCCTATCTCTTGTCTTTTTTTTAGCATTCCACTTGAGCCAACTTGCACCTCCTAACAGGTGTACTATGCATGCGTTACAGAGGGCCAACGCACCTAAGTCTACTTTCTCTCATCTTATTGCCTATTGCAGCACACCTAAGTCCTCTCGAATGTCTTCATTTCGAATTATATCCCTTCTTGTCTTTCCACTCATCCATCTCAACATCATCATCTCAACTATACTCATCCCATGGGTATGTTATTCCTTGACCGCCCAAGATTCTGCCCCATAAAGCAAAGCTGCTCTCACAACTATCCCATAAAACTTCCCTTTCAATTTCATTGGTATGAAGAAATCACATAAAACTCCGGTTGCACACCTCTACTTTACCCACCCAGCTCTAATTCTATTTACGACATCTTCCTCAATCTCTCCATTTTCTTGTGTTATCGACAAAAGTTATTGAAAGTTCACTCTTTTTGGTATATGTTAGCCGTCAATCTTAACTACTTCCTCGTCCCTACTCCTATTATTACTAAACTTGCAATCCATAGACTTTTGTCTTAGTCCGGCTAATTTTAAAACCTTCAGATTCTAGAGCATCCCTCCAAAGTTCTAACTTTATGTGGACGCCACTTTGAGTCTCATAAATCAAAACTATGTCATCCGCGGCACCTCATCTTGTAGGTGCCTAGTTAAGTCGTCCATAACTAAGACAAAGACGTATGGGCTCAAAGCTAGCTTCTAATGTAGACCTCCTGACACTGAAAACTCACTCGTCTCCCGACTAGTTGTTTGCACACTAGTTAGTGCTGCCTTGTATATATCTCACCAAGTCGATATAACATATGAAGACTCATTTCTTTTCCAACACCATCAAATCAGGCTACAATTTGCTCATAGGTTAATATTTTTTATTTTCAGTCTTTGAAGCAAGGGGTGTCTTGCATGTGGATGTTAGACTAGGGTTCTTTCAATAAGGAAAGAAAACTTGGTAATAGCCATATAGGTTATGCCGAAATTGTAATTTGATTAGGAAGACACAGTAACATTTTATATTGTCTCAATCCATGACCTACAAAGGCTAACAATAATATTTAGAAAATTAGAAGAATGCTAGTCACTAGGAAAAAGAACAGCCCATGCCATGCATGGGCAGTGGCACTTGAAGAGAGAAATTTGTGAATTAGGTCTGGAAAATAGAATATATTGTTTTTGAGAAATATGGAAAATATAATAATGATGAATTAATTTGTAGGGAAAGGAACATAAGGGTTATAACACTAATTTGACTAGAGTAGGGTTTGATATATTTAGAGAGAGAAATTCTAGAATGGATTAAGACCACTCCCATTTGGAAGAACAAATTCACTTTGGACAAGTCCTTTATATTTTAAAGAGTTGTGTCTTTTGGGGGGAGTAGATATCCAAATTAAGGAGGAAAAATTTATCTTGATTGAAGAAATAATCATGGGTCTTTATTCTTTTACTAAGCAACTAGAATTGGAGGCGGTCACACTTAAAGCCTTGAAAACTCAAAAGGAATTAAAAACCAGGAGGATCATTAACATGGAATAGACTTCTAGTGGATTTTGCTATAAATAAATTTTATTATTTCATTTCCCAAAACGAATAAAAATGCTCCATTAAGAAATAACAAATTCAAGGGATGAATATATGAACTAACAAACAAATGCCCTGGTTTCAATAGGACAGCAGAGAAGGCTAAGCACTGTATAAAAATGTTTGGCAATGAATTGACAAGTATACCTGATACCAAGCTGCAGACTGAGCATCAGATAATAACTTCTGTGGCCTTTGATAACAGTTTCACCTGGTCGATTCCCTTCTTTTGTTTGCCGCTTATGACGTTTTCTGTTATTTTTCAGTGATGTTTGGTTACTTCTAATAGACTCACTTTTTAGCATCCCTTGGATGTACTCTCTATCATACACAGTGACATCATCATCATCTGTCCCAATTGTACCTCCCTCTAAAGCACACAATCCTTTACCTAGAACATCCTTTCTAGATATTTCTCCAACATTGGCGCCAAGCCTCAGATCCCCATCTAGAGATGTCGACCTATGTGATATACGACCTGTACTTTTAAATAGGTCTATTACAGACCATTTTTCAGAGAGACTACTTTTGACTTTCCTCAACTTTTGAGCACTGAAGTCCTCCAAATCCATTGAGGCAGAACAGTCATGAAAATAAGATTTGCAATCAGCATGATTAAAAGATGTTAACCAACTTGCTACATTTGGAATTTTACTACCAGAAGGAAAGAAGGACCCTTTTCCGTCCTTTAATCCCCTGCTCCAAGTTCCAAAATAATACCCCCCATCAGCAAACCTGTAGATGCCAAATCCTTGCTCCAAACCATCCACCCAAAACCCATCAAAAAGATCACCATTCACCCATTTTAGAATGCCTCTACCACACATTTTCCCAGATTTCCAACTCCCAACATATGTATTTCCACTACTCCATAGATACCTACCAATACCTTCTGGTACTCCTTCCTTCCAAGATCCTTCATAAACATCAGAATTATTGTATGTTTTCTTTCCTAATCCATGCTGTATGTTCATCCTCCAGTCACCCATGTAAGAAGCACCATCTGCTGCGATGTATGTGCCAGAACCATGTATATAACCACCACTAAAATCTCCATTATATGAAGCTCCAGATGGCCATGAAATCTTTCCTCTTCCACTCATTTTGCTTTCTTCCCATTCACCTTCATATATGCATCCATCGAACCATATATATTTTCCTGTGCCATGAGGAAGTTGTCCTTTATAACTCCCTTCATAAATGTCTCCATTCGAGAATACAGTTTCACTGAACCTGCAAAACAGGAGACACGACATTACAAATCACAGACCAATCAGATCACTGTGAAACAAGAAATCCAAAAAGAAAAATATAAGCTCTAAGTGGTCTGTAATGTGGCTGTTGATTTATATCAACTGTTGCATGAGTCCTATGTAAATGCAGATGAGAACGTCACCTTTGGCTATCCGTCATGTCTTATGCCATCACATCAGATCCATGTTTGATACCTTTATTCATGAAATTAAATGCAATGAAATGGAACACTTCCTTGCACTAGGTTCCCAATATTCTAAGAGAGCACCTGCATTTACACAAGAAATATTCAAGCAGGGAGCACGATATGTTAAAATGAGATCAACTTGCATAATAGCTCTGTCATCAGTAACTTGTAACAGCACAAAATTTGAATCCCTGCCTTGGACATCATCTACCAACCCGAAACAGCACATTAATCGAAGTTCAATAAAAGAAAACACAATTCCATAGCATGATTATGCATGACCCCAACCCTCACCATGAAAGCTTATTTCAAAAGAATGTAAACCCACAGTTAGCACATATCCCACATTTAGCAGAAAATTAGCATATATCCCACAATAACTAAACCATAACAAAAGCAAATTGCGTGAAAGATATATTGGCTTTCAAACTACTCTGCAAGGGCATGGAAAAAATAAAGAAATTAACAGGTGTATGAGTTACTAAGAAGACAAGAAATAGTTGACTGAATTACAAAGGTTGGACAGATATCAATTAAATGCATGCCATAGTCCAGAAGGCATAGAAGGTCAAGAAAAGCTGAAAAGAAGTTTTACAAAATTTTCGTAAGGAAAAGGGCACTGTACAAGAGTGGGCAAAAGCCTTTTAAGAGAGAATTATTGTGATATGATTGTTTTCTCGTACTCTGTGGGGTCCTGGGGCTTTAGCAAGTTGTGATGTTTTTGTAAATGATACTGCATGCGTAATAAGCACTAAAATGTCTATTTAGATGTTTATTTATACTAAGTTTCAGATGAGTAGTCATAGCATGCAGAAATTAAAGGGCCTTCAGCCTTTTTGTTATCTTGACCAGCTGCAAGCCTGCAACAATATGTAGATCATAGGATCCCCAGTCTCATGCAACGATCAAGTTGATGCAGTGAACTTTCAAGTTTTCTTAAGCTCCTGTTCTCATAATAAAGCATTTTCTTAAGCTACGTACGCCCTCCTTTTTCCATTTGAGTGTTTTGACAAGTTCTTGGGGTGAGGCTTCTGTTAACAGCAGTGTACTGGATCAATTGTTCAGTCACTCCAATTCCTGGTTATAAATTTCTAATTCAAAGGTTTGTTTAAAGTCCATACATTTCTGTGTTTGTCAGCAGGTATTTGGATCTTTGTACTTTATGACATTCCTTATATTGTGCATGACAACATCGTCTTATATGTTTGCAGGTCATCCTTCCAAACGTATATGTGCAAGCTTCAACTTATGAGCTTGAAAGATGTTAATTTCTTTTTAAGTAACATTTTCAGAGTAAACCAGTAAATTTACTTCGCATACCCTTCTTCCCAATTCAGATTGAAGCCATTTTTCTCAAGAGGTGGATCTCCAACACAATGCAATGTGGACAGAGGTCAGTTTCTAGTCATAAATTAAACCAGGTGTCCACAAGATAGGAGGTGGAGAGTGGGAAAATATGGCTGCATTAGCCAGTTCAAACATAACTGAAAGAAACCATATCCATGTTAGGTCTAGAATATTGAGGCATATCAACGGAAGTACAAGAACTCTTTGATGATTAGCTAATTGAGCAAGGATGGACATCTCAGCCCACGCCAATGTTGACTTGGCAGGATGTCAAATTGACCAGAGTTCAGAATCTTGCTATTGTATTTATATGAGCAAAAAAATTCGTCAACTCGAAAAGCAAGAACTCGGACTTCAAACTTGATAAATTAAATAGCGGATCAACCATCGAAGAGGAAACAAAGTTAATTCAAATGGGTAACACATGATTGAATTAGCATTTAGCGAAACATGATAGAGAATGACTTGTGACAGAAAAAATGTTATTTTGGTGGTACTGTATTTGATGGCACTGTATTCATTATTTCATGAGTGCACCAAGTATCAAAGGGGGAACAACTACCACTATGTTCGAGAATGCCATAAAAAACCATTAAGACTTAAAATCGAGTCTAAATATCAACCTAGTAATGTTTCGGTTGAAGCTTTGTGTTGCGAGAAACTTCAGGTCTTCAAATGCAAGCCAGGAAGATAAAAAGCTCTCCAACTTGAGAGAATGTAAGGTAACATATATAGCCAATGGTACATTGGTGCATTCAATCCTCTTCGAGAAAGCTAAATCTATCTATTAGATCCTCAAAGCTCATCGAGTGTTTTCATGAAAAGATGCCAAAAACACCTCCTACCATTTATTTATTCCTTCTAGAAGTTTATAACATCATGTCAGAGAGAGCGAGAACAAAGTGTAAATTATAATTCATCATGACTGCTCTTTTACAAATCTAGTTCCTACGAAGAACTTTTCAGGCAACAATAAATAGTAGTGTCCCCTTTGGACACCTTATAATCCACTACAGTCATCCCAACAATCCATGCCCTGTTTGGGCCATCAATGAGTCCATGGTGCTCATTATTAGATAAACCCTCCATAAACCCTTCCTTTTCCCATCAGCTAGACTTAACTATCACTGGTATAATTGCCTTGCAAAATCTACTGGGGCATATTATTTCCCTCAGAGGCTCAGACACTACTTTACCACATACCACACCAAATAGCATATCCAAAATCAATGGAAGGGTTCTTGGACTGGCTCCCATGCCAAATCTACAGCAGACTGGTTATCCTCAAAATTTTGGCCAAGAAAAACTCCATGTTAGACTACCACAGAAAGTCCTAGAGGCTTGATATTGTAACGTCATACTTAGGTCTTACAACAATTGGATCAATGGAATATTCTCACCAACAGAATTATGCACCAGCAAAATGTACTGAAGTATTATAATGAAGCAAATAGTGTCATGTAAGTGCAGGGAATTTGCAGAAGTTACCAAAGGTGTGCAATTAAAGGAGATTCTCCATGTAAAGGTTCTTGACCTTTTACATGAAAAGTGCAGATTTCATCATATGGCATACATCCAATGCTCTGGTATCCTCAATCCTCCAAGACAGGGATGCCCTAGAAGCTTCACAATATCTCTACCAGAGTCCAAGACAGGGATGCCATAGAAGCTCCCCAATATCTCTACCAGAGTCGTGGTAGACAACTCTAGGCAATCCTATTGACATGCAGAGAACTCCACTTTGTTTCAACAGATATTACTCCCTTTTAGTTCTTTCTTCCAATTATGTATCTTTGGATCTATGTAATTAGGGTTGATGTTGTAGAGAGTCTATATTGATCCAAACTGAAACACCCAACTGTCCATAGGATCCAAATTCCATGGTTAATGGATATTAGGAACTTTTCATGAAAAAAAACATGCAGGTCACAAAAACAATGAACCAAATTGACAGCTTCAAGACATCTACCTCCATGACATTTGAGTACTTGAAACTAGTCTACAGCATCAAGATGTTCAAGTAGAGCTAAATTAGAATCTCATTTGCGATTAGAACCATGCTAAAAGCGACATCATTTTCGTCCATATGGAGGAGCAACCACGAAGAGCTTCAAGAGTGACAAGCCTATGCCAAAGTAGGTGCCCACATATCACAGAAAGCAATTCATGGAATAAGCATTGTGACGTAGTGTGATCTATTGTTGCGATAATCATGAGCAGCATGCAGTACCATAATGACAGTCAAAAAATACATTATTTCGCAAGGAGTGGCAAGGGAGCACCTTTACATAAAAAACAAAGAGAGAGAGAGAGAGAATACCAGTAAAATCTCAAGCTTTCTTAGAGATGCAATACCCTCTCAAGGAACAATTTGCAAAATCAAATTCAGAAATAAAAAAAGTTTCACAAAAGTCCACCTCCACCAACTAGATTACCATGTCTAACTCATCCACATCCACTAGACTACAAAGTTCCACGAAAATCAGTGGAACCAAATCAGAAGAGAAATCTCTGTTTATGAAAAGGGAACCCCAATTCCTACAAGAAAGAAGTAACAAACAAGAATCCTCCAATCGATCTATCTGATGAGGTTGTAATAAAGTTAATATATGTGAAATTATCTGCCTCATTCAATTGAAAAAATGGAGAACCATATACAATGAAGTAGAAGAGAGAGACTCACAGCGGAAGGCAGGCCAGGAAAGGTGATGGCGTGCTCTTGTAGCTACCAATAGTGATTCCCCTCCTCTCAAATTTCTACCTGTCAATGCCTCAAAGAAAACAATATAATATAATGAAATGGTTTGTGTGGTCGCACTCTGGCAGGTGGGCCGACTCAACTGCAAATCCGTTTGATTGGCCCTTTCGCCCGACGTGCACCTCTCTCTCCCTCACTCTCAAATGGATCTCAATATGTTTCTGAAAGTTGAAGGAGAGAGAAGCGCTTTATCAACCATCGTCTGCCTTATTACGGGTAGAATATAAGATTTCATACTTTGAGGGAGCATGCTGTCGATTTATTTCCTCAGGAAAAATCTGATCTAGTGGTATTTTCAACAACCCTTTTGGGATTTAACATCTTTTTAAAAAGGTCATGTTACCGCACACATATATGAGAATTTACTAAATATATTCAATATGTTTTGATAATACTCTTACTGTAATAATTTTTTATGTTGGGGTATTTTAAGTAATTATTCAATTACAAGGTAGAAATCCATAATAGAAAGATGAAAGATAAGTATTCATTAATTATAGTGGAGAATGACATCTTCCATATAAAAGTCACTAAATTTTTATGAACATATCTTTCCTACCCCTCCTAATAAAAAAAAATACCCTTGCTCAAAAAAATTTGTACTATAAAACAAGAGAAAAAATTTTGTTCTATAAAACAAGAGTAATTAGTATATGAAAATGTTAAGTATATTTTTGTAATTAAGTGTACCATAAGATAAACCCTTCTTAAATTGCATTATCACTTAAAAATTAATTACCTCAAAATCTAATAAAAATTGTCTAAATTTTTTAAGGATGAAAAGTATTATAAAACTTAAAATTCAACTTCTTATAAATATCGTTATCTAGTGACTTCTAAGTGGTTCCCAAAATATAAGTCAAAAAAAGAAATTGGGAGCTAGTTTTCCGCTCAAGGGAGGAAATGTACAGTGTACGCTCCCATGGGAGCATAGCATAGACGCTAAAACAAATATGGGCACGGCGCCTACTTGAGAAAATAAAATAACATAATATGTATCTGAGAATACAAAGTCACATTTGCTTGCTTGCCATCCATCAATGGGACTTGGGATTGGGAGGTTATGGGGCAAACTGAGAAGGAAAAATAGTTTATCCTTACCATGAAGGGGTCGAGAAAGTAATTTATACTTTGTTATTCTTATAAGAGATGGATGGAAAATTAGTTTAATACATTTCTAGAGAGAGAAAGAACTATTAGGAGAGAGATGGATATGCCTTGGCCCTCATTTAGTTGGAAAATTAGGCTTTCGAACCAATTGTTAAAGACATACAATCTCTAACACGGAGATTATGAATATGAAAAAATAAATAATTTTTAAAATAAAAAATAATAATTTTATTAAAAAAAATTGAACTGTTAGTTTCATCTGGTTTTAAATGGACTACCCATTTGCATCCATCTTTAAAGTGAATCTGTAAAGTGAATGTTTTATGCTATTGAGACGCAACGTAGAAATGCATCCCCCAACTCATGAAACAATTTTCCTTGGAACCAGTAGGAGAGAGAATATGTGAAGGTGCCACCAAGGGCAGATGGAGGCATTGGGACCCAAACCTTTCCGTCGAGCACATGGAATTTGTTTCATTCACTGAACACCACATAAATAAAAGGTTTTGTCCCCGCATTCAGCGCCAACGGGAAAAAACAAACACCGATATATCTCTTATTTTAAGGGATGTTTAATACGCTTTTCAAAATTTTGAATTTTACAAATGTCTTTTTCTCCAGCTCATTATTTTTTTTGGGGACGTCTTTTCGTACTTGGAGTACCGGATAATGGATGTAGCCTTGTAATTACAAAAAGAAAAAACTTAATTTATAGGAGGCTCTAAACGATCAAATTTGTGCCTACATCAAAAATTTTACTAGAACAGGTTGTTTTGATGCCCAAATATCTTCAAATTGATCATCTCGACACCATGATGCATAGAAATGAGAAAAAAATGGATTTCAAGTTTAAGAAATAGTATATTTTATAACATATTTTTTGACCGTCAATTTTTAAGATTTTCAAGTTTTCATAGATCTGTCGATCTGCACTATTTTTAAAGTTTTAAACTTTATAAATAATTATAAAAATATATTTTAAGGGTATCACAAAGATTTCTAATATCGAAACCACATTTCTCGACACCATTTGAAGGTAGGCTCTAATTTGATTATTTAGAGCCTAGGCTCTATACAAACCGCACCCTTACAAAAAAAAAATGTTCGGCATTCCTGGAGTACCAAACATTATCTTAAATTAATGTAATGTTGGAATTGTTAATATGAAATCAGTTTTTTTCTTTAAACAGAAAAGAGTTTAGTATTGTCAATACCAAATATATTCTTGTATTTTTCTCATCAAGAAAACAAGAATATATTCCATAGTGATCATACCAAACTAGTTTGTGTTTAAAAGGAAACGGATTGTATTTCGTATTGAGAGATTATGCCAAGACAATATTTAGTATTATAGCTAAGCATATATAAGTTTAGTACTCGCAATACCTAAAATTATTTTTAATTTTTGTAATTATAAGGCTACAAAAAAAAAAGCTACAACCTTTGTTGAATACTCATGAGTACAGAACTTAGGGGCATATTGGAAAAAATTAAGTTGTAAAATCTTTGCAAAGTTCAAAAGTTTCGAGGCTTTTTTTATGTCCCTAAAAATAAGATACATTTATCTCAATTTCCCAAAAAGACAAATTGCAAAATAATAGTATACCATTATTTGTTAATAACTCTTGAGTTTGGTAAAGGCTTATTTTATGTTCATTAATTTATTAATCCCTCCCTACCAAGCTTTCGGCTGATGCGTGCTCGGATATTTGTTTGTAAGTTGCAAAGGGTAATGCATGTATGAAAGGCTTGGGACCAGCCAAGCAATTTGCAAAAATGAATGCCATGTCATTCAACCATGAACATAATCGAAGATTTGAAGCTGCTTGAAACAAGTAGACTTTTTAAGGATATTTTAAAAAATCCTAAGTTTCTTTGTCCCTTTCTTCCCATCTTTTTTCCAAACTGCCCATTGGTCTGTACTCTCAGTTTCAAGTTATACTAGAGTTGGTTTTTGTGAAAGTATTGTTTGGTACTGAGAATAATGAACATATATGTGTGCCTGTAATTAAGTTCGGCACTAAGAGTACCAAACAAATTTATTTTGTTGTGTTATGTTCAGTACTCTCAGTATTGAACTAGTGTCTTTCTCTTATTTTCGTGTATTGAGTACTAAAAGCTATCATTTTATAATTTTGGAAAATTTATTCAAATACCCATGAAAGATGTAGTATTTAGCATTTTATACTTTTGATTCTGTTTCAACTCTGCCTTTTATGGGTATTTTGAAATTAAATCAAACAATATGGGTACAACGTTAAATAGTTTTTTCTCATATAGGTATTTTGATCATTTTCCCTATATTTTTATATTTATTTGGTATTGTGAGTATTGAACTTTGTTAAAAGCATGAATATGTTCTCTACTCTTAGTACTTAATATTATTTTTTTTTAATAACCAACTTTAGCACAATTTGGCCTGAGAGTACCAAACTAATGGCATTTTGGAAAAGAAGAAATAGATGGACCTAAGGGTACATCTCCGTAAATTTTAAAACTTAAATAGTTATCTGAATTTTTCTTTTTTTATAATAGTTAGTATGTTAAGTAACACATTTTAAAATACAAAATTAGTTTGGATAATGTCGTATTGATATAAAGTTTGGACATTCCAATAAAAGATTAAGGTCCCCTACACCTGATGACCCCTCATGGGCTGGTAGCATCGTCCCCTCCCACACATACAAGACCCTTTAACGAGATTTTGGGGAAGGTGGCTCTTGCTCACCAACGGAGTTTACCCGACCCGCTAGCTTCATGGACCATGTCTTGTTCAAAATGGCGAGGACGTTTACTAATGGCCTATCTACATGGATCCCGTCTATGGGCGAGGACGTTTACTAATGGCCTATTGATCCTGTCTATGGGCGAGGACGTTTACTAATGGCCTATGGATCCTGTCTATGGCAAGGACGTCTACTAATGGCCTATCTACATGGATCCTGTCTTTGGGTTTTATTCAGTGGTTTAAAAATCGCCGGAAATTGGTCATCATGTGCCATTCGTAGCGATAACTCCGATTCGCTAAAGTGATTCGGTGAGTTGGGGGGCATATTTGTGTGCGTTGGTAAGCTTTGAAATTTTTTTAAAAGTTGGGGGGCTTATTTGTTGTGTGCATCCATCGTCATAAATAGGAGACGTCACTCGTAGGGCGATAAACATAACAACAAGGACACGTCACTCGTGGGGCGATAACATAACAACAAGGACACGTCACTCATACGGCGATAACATAACAACAAGGACACATACTCGTAGGGCGATAACATAACAACAACACTTCGGCGATAACATAACAACAACACTCATAAGGATGACGAAAACATAACAACAAGGACACGTCACTCGTTGGGCGATAACATAAGAACAACGCTCATAAGGACACGTCATAAGGCGAAAACATAACAACAACACTCACAACGCGATAACATAAGGTACACGTCAAAAGACTGTACCTGCACTCACATTGACCTGCACCTACCACAAACACTTTATACCAATGGTTTAAAAACCGGATCAGTGATCCGGATCGGGCTTTTCAAAAACCGATCCAGATCGGCGAATCGGCGATCCGGATCGGAGAATCGGCGATCCGAA